GCGGGCAGAAGCTAGTACTATATATACATACGTATATATATATACATACGTATTTACTGCAATATGCTAAGTTCTATTTCTAGTTTACGTAAAGTTGTCAGTCCAATTACAATCAGGGCATAACTAGTAAATAGGTAAATCAAAGTTCTTCAATCAAATATACACTTTATTACCAAACAATAGAGTTGAAGTGATAAATTGGGGCAGGTTGACTTGCTGTGTTGGTGTCGATATATCAGTACCAACTGTCAAACTACTGGAGTTTGCTTTTCATTATTGCTTTTGTTTTGTAAGTCTGTATGGATTATGGGTCACGTGGGTGAGTGTGACTGGAATATGAGTTGACAAAGGTCATTCTTGCAATCAGATCACTCTACTTATAAGATCATGGTGTATGACTGTTGTTTCGCTCTTGGCAGAGTGATCATGGTCACGTTGAGACGCTGTATTTGTATTTGGAGGCCGATACTGCTTTCCTCACGATCTCCCGCCGTCTCTCCCTCTTTGTGGATTTTCTTGTGCAGTCTGACACTGGGTTTCCTGTTGCCGATTTAACTTGATCAGTCCAGCGGTATCTGCCTTGTGATCTGGTTTAATCCGCTGCTCCATGGAGTTATTATCACGCTGGGAAACGTGGCCAAAGTACTGCAGTATGTGCTGTGGTTGATAGATGTTTTGTAATGCTGAGTTCTCGGAGTATGGATACGTTGGTACATTACTCAGTCCACGATACGCCAAACATCTTCCTCCAGCACCACATCTCTAGAGCTATCTTTACGGAGCCGCAGAAGACTTAACGGGTTGCCGGGGCTCCGGCTCGAAGTGCAGGAGTAGGAACGGAGTGGTTTTTAGTCAGTAAGAGTCTGACACTCCCTCTCGCCTCACCCGGGCGGGAGAAGTCATTGGATGATTTTCACCCCTCAAAAAAAGAGCATCTATCTTCCCCTTTTCCAATTCACGTACTGTCCACGTCTCTGCCACGTAAAGGTAGAATGGAAATACCAGCGTCCGCATAAGTCTGACATACTGACAGCAAAAAATGCTTTATAAAATAAACGCAGAGTGATCGAAGACTGATCAGACGCAGTATCAATGATCTGAGGTGATTATCAATTTAGGAAACAAGGTAGGCATCCACTAATTTAAAGTAGAGAATATTCTAATTTTTTTTATGGAATAGGAGGCAAACAGCAGACGGATCACCTGATAGTAAGTGAACAGCGCCGCCCATGTACACCCGCAACACCAGGGGAGTCACAGGTGCGTTGCCGGCCTTTTAAAAAGGAGTACGCTCTTTTCTTGAAGGTCTAAAGGTCGTATCGGTTCGGAAATACCGCCGACGACAGATCATTCAAGATGATTCTAACTGTCGTTTAGGTACTTGCTGCGTGCTGGCAAAATATACATGCAGTACCTACCTAATAACAAATCGTCCTACGCTTTAAAAGTATAAGCAAGTTTACTCTATTATTATATGTTTAAACCATTCCCTTGCTAATTGAAGTTGGTATTTCCGTTGACACCTATCTAAGATAGTTACTCCTATTGAGTCCAACGGCCGAGGATGCGGGCTATTGAGATGCAATCGCCTGCTTCCTCACATACTGCACAAGGTGACATGCAACCGTAGTTTATACACCGTAAAATGTATTTCGTTTTCGTCCCGAAGTAAAGTGGTTCTGCTTTGGTAATACAAAGAAATAAAACGTTTAAAACAAAATACATATAACTGATGAGACATTGCAAAAAGCCAACTTCGAAAGCGCATACGAACTGACAGTACATTATTAAAACATCACGCCATGTAATTCTCGAAGATATATTTCGCGTCGGGTGGCACGTGCGATGCGGATAGCCCCTACAAATTTAGGTACCTACGACATTTTTTTTTTGAGGGGGGAAAATCATCCAATGATTTCTCCCACCCGGGTGAGGCGGGAGGGAGTGTCAGACTCTTACTGACTAAAAACCACCCCGTTCCTACTCCTGCACTTCGAGCCGGAGCCCCGGCAACCCGTTAAGTCTTCCGCGGCTCAGTATCGGCATCAGCCCTGTTAGGCCCCATCTGTGGTGGTCTGATGGCTCCTTGAGGCGCGCGCGGAACGCGACGCGCCGTACGCTCGGGCCTGGTTCTGGTCGGGCGGCGAGTCACCCGTGCTCGCCGTCCGCAGGCCCGTGCTTACGGTGGCCGGAGATCGTCTCGCGATCCCCGACGCCCGGAGTGTCTCTCGCGACGGCCGGGTCGTGAGGAGGTTCGTTCTCTCACGCGCTCCGCCTCCTCCTTAGCTAGCATGACTGCTTCGCAGAACGAGGAGACGGCATCCCAGTCCCCCTCGCTCCGTAACATGGTCTGAACCAGAGCCGAACGCGAGAGGTCGCCGTCGCCGATCACATTCCTGAGGACACGGCGGTGCTCAGTCCACGCAGGACACACCGCCACCGTATGCTCCACCGTGTCCTCCGGGCGATCCTCGCAGTGATGACACCCGGGCGTTTCCTCCCGCCCAATCCGAAACAGGAACCTACCGAAACTTCCGTGTCCGGTAAGCACCTGCGTCAGGCTGTAGGTGAGGACGCCGTAGCGTCTCTCAAGCCACTCCTCAAAGAGGGGACTTACCGCTGCAATGACAGCGAGCCCAAGGTACCTACGACCTACGTCTAGTGTTTTATGTGCGTATTACCATGATTTTTTTTTAATAAAAAAAACTTTTATGGTTTTACTTTATACATCGAAAGTACTCTAGCAGGTTTTTTTATCGCGGAACGGGAACGAAATAGATTTCATTGTCACTACGACATACGGTTATAGACTGGCACTTAATACATGGTTCTGGTAGGACAACTGCTAAAAAAAGTGTTATTATTCTCAGAAACTAGGAATTGGAATTCGTTCGGGTAACCTTATGTTCAGCGGTGTACGATTTGTGGCTGATAGTACCTATGACGATGAATCTCAAATATAACACGTTAAATATGCTGTTGCCAATGTTTTTAATTTTTTTTTTCACCAATGGCTTATTGGTTATGTTCGTACCAAACAAAGGAGGTAAACTAGTACACATTATTTTCGTGTTCACTCGATATTCGACACAGATCTTATTCGTAATTCGTAAAATAAAGATCTAGCAGTCTTATACCAAGTCGTATAGGTAACGCGGCCATTACATAGTCTGCAAATAACTACATGAAAATTCCGTGTTGTTGGACAAACATGACTAACTGCGATGAGGACCAGACAGAAACCCCGAAGGTCTGCAAATAAGTCTACCACAAACTACAAACAAATATTTATATCACATTGTAGTGACGTTTAAAAGGTAAATGACACTTAGTTAATCCTTTTGTCTTGACAAACGAACAAATGTAGGTTTTATTTAATTCTCAATCTTCCCTGTTGCCGCCTACATGTGCCTACACGCGGACTTACTCATCTTTTAGAGTAACATGAGTTGGTATTTCCTTTTATATTCCTGAGACGTTAGTAAGTGTTGCTTTCATAACATTACGCTTGTTTTTCCAAAGATAGTTGTCAGAAGTGTGCATAGATGTAATAACACATGTGATTCTTCTCCAATTATGTTACAAATTCGGTAAACGATTAAACACACCTGCTGACGCTTCTAGGCTATTGTTTTTAATATGATTGTTTGTTACGGCATAAGCCAGTAAACGAGCAGACGGATCACCTGATGGTAAGCAATCGGCGTCGCCCATGGACACCTGGAACACCAGAGGCGTTACAAGTGCGTTACCGGCCTTTTGGGGATTAGGAGTTTGAGGATCGTTGTAATTGGGCCTCTAGTAACCTCACTCACACGAGGAAACACAACGCAAGCATTTCTTCACATCGGTTTTCTGTGAGGCCGTGGTTTCACTCCGGTCGAGCCGGCCGTTCGTGCCGAAGCATGGCTCTTCCACACTTAAAATTTTTATATGATTCGTTTAATTACCTATACATATTTCTCTCATACCGTCGGCCTATTGTATAAGTTATACATTGGTGCTCAACAGAAGGCAATCGATACTTAATGTTACACAAGAGTTCATGACCTTAGCTATGAAGACAAAACTGCGTTTAAAAACCGATTTCAAAAAACCACCACCAAAAACTATCATTAGTACTGATAGGTTACCCACTGATAGGTTAGAAGTCGGCACCTCCTCCTTTTTTTGGAGTCGGTAAAAACCATTCTTTTCGGTTCATATTATTCCTTTCCAAAACTACCAAGTCTACGAAAAAAAGATCAAGACACAGTACGATAAATAACAGGAGAACAACATAACATACCATAATGTCACGCCTTTTTATCCCCGAGGGGGTAGGCAGAGGTGCACATTACGGCACTTAATGCCACTATACAATGTAACACCCACTTTTCACTATTTATGTTATGAGTCCCATGTAATAGAGGGTGAGCCTATTGCCATATACCAGGCACTTTTCCAGACTCCGTGCTACTATTGCGATTTTTAAAAACCCAGTAATACTTTGCCCGACCTGGGAATCGAACCCGAGACCACTTGCCCGGCAGTCGCACTTGCGACCACTCGGCCAACGAGGCGATAAATAACTGGAGAACTGGCCGTTCATAATCAGTTTATTCAAGAATTTACTACCAGAACTAACAGTTAGCTTTATTCTGCTTTATTGATGTTTCCTTCCAACCCTGGACACCTTTCTACGTTGAAGATTAAAACCAAACCTATCCAGTTGCTGTCCTTTGTGTGCCAACTACACTAAATCGTTGCCCGACATATAAACTCAAGTAAAACCAACGAGAGCACAGTTTGTGAATAATCTCTAAAGACGTAGAACGAATTTGATAAAAAATAAATGTTTTTATAATTTAATTCGTCTTTAGTAATATTTCTATAGTACACAGTGAACTAACTAAATATTAAACTAACGACGCCTGATCAATAAGTTTATATAAAGTTGAATTACAAAACTTGTTGCTCGCAGTATTTTGTTAGGCGCTTAGCAAAATAATCCGAAGAACATGTCTTTTGCACATATTAGCAATATTTTTTTAAGCATTTTACTGCCTTTGTTGTTTTCTAACACATGTAAGTATCTTTTAAAACATTGCAAGTTTTATTAAACTTCTTTTATCTCCATACCTCAATTTTTTAACCTTCGTTGAAAAAGAAATCAGTCTATTATAGACTATATTTTTTAATTAAGAATTATAATTTCTATTTGATAGTTATAACATAGTAAAGACTTACATAACTTAATTTTCTAACTTCCAGGTGAAGCAATCAAATGTTTTGACTGCAACAGTAAGAATAATTCGGCGTGTTTAGAGATGCATGTTCCAAAAATGCACGCTATCATACCTATCGTCGACTGCAGAGAATCTCTCTCCAATGCCATAGACAAAAGGGAATTCTTCTGCAGAAAAATTACACAAACAAGTAAGTACTGCTTCTTTTTTAAAAAAATTAAGAAAGTGCAATTAAAATTGTTGTGGGTTGTTAAAGACAGATGGCGGTAACTTCAAGTTTTCTAAATACTAACATTCGACTAAATTTTGTTAGGTTTAATGCCATCAAATTGATAAACTGTTTATGTTTTGAGTCCCATATAGTAATGTAGTGACTAGTAGTGAGCTTATAGTCATAAAACAGTACGACATATATCGTATTACTACAGAAAAAAGAACGAAAATTCCAATCTTTGCAACAGTAGGTACTTATTTATCTATAAAATCTATGTAAATAAGTAGGCATGCATTTAATAACAATTGCAAACGGAAATGCAAACTAGATACATGCAGTGCCGCGTACCTATCATTATAGGTCCTCAGAGACAACAATATACTAATTTCAGAGCGGTGACATGTCGTTATAAATGACCATAGAGATGTGATGATTAACTAACAGCGTGATTATCAGTGCGTGTAGACGTCCTTATTCTGATAGCAATGGTTTTTGATGAAGCAATTCTAATATTTTAAAAACAGATCTAATTTCGTGCTATTAGGTATTAAGAATATACATATTGGATTTCCTAACCTAGCTTCCTAGAAATCAAACCCAACATCTCTTGCTCTTCAATCGCGTTAGTAGCCACAAATAAGGCAGTAATAATTATTAACCTTCTTATGTTATTGTACGTTTGTCATATTTTGTTTGTCTTCTAGTCTTACATCCAGATCAGACGCCAGAAGTCCGGATAACTCGTGGTTGTGGCTGGGTGAGAAGCAAGAGGGAATGCTACAAAGCTGACAATATGGACCACTTGGAGACAGTCTGTCAGTGCTTCGGGGACCTCTGCAATGCGGCAACAACCCTCGAACACGTCAAAGTGACAGCTTTTGTAGCCGTTGCCACTCTTCTTGTAGCGTTTAGAACATGGCGGGGGAACGTTTGAAATTAGATTTTATATTTTTTTCTTTATGGGACGATTGGATTTCTACTCTATAATTTCTTATGTCTGATAAATAAAAAGTTTAAGAAAAAAAATATGTATTTTTAAAAAGATTAGGATCAGTAGTGCTATATAAAGTTTTATCTAAAAGTATTACAAATGTATTGTTACACTCTGGATTACAAAATGTTTGCAAATAAGTTTCAATAATACTACTTACATAAATGATATAAATCCTTGTTAAATCAAAGGTTATCGTCACTATTTCACCTCCAGATGTTTACGATATTGTATAATAATATTATGTTATAGAGAAATCCTAAATGCATAGCGTCACACCTGTCTCCGATGGACCAGGCATACGCTATGGAACGCCAATTGCTATGATTCTTACATATCTCTTTCACTTCATCAACAGTCATAGAGAAATCAAATTAACTAATATAAGTATACTCATAAAATGAAACTGTCTTTCTGTAACCTGCGTCATCGTCATCATAATCAAAAGCTCTTAACAGCCCACTACTAGAGAACGGGTTTCCTAACCGCTAATGCAATATAAGTAGGGCATATAAAATCTATTTTTATAAGTCTTGGAGAATCCAAAGCGTCTTTGCATCCTATCTGATGTAGGTAAATAAAAGTTGACCGTGGCGTCAATTGGCTTCCGATAACACGGAATAAGACCGCGTCGCAATTTTATACGAGAATCGCAAGTAAATGTAAACAGTTAGTGGTCGACTGTCCGGTATACATCTCGCGATACATATAGAAACGTATCAATATAGAATTTGTGTTAAAAAGTTAACTTAAAAAAATAAAAATGTTGAAAGTAAAAGTAAAATTTTGCGCGATATTCGCGCTGTTTTTTAAATACGGTACGTTCATTTCATTATTTTATTTATTGGTGGTTTTGTTTATAAGGATTGCTTTTAATAATTTCTCTGAATGCAAATGAAGTTTGTTTTTAATATTTCTACATTTCCTATACCACCAGTCTACAAAGTTATACCTCATTTTTTAAGTCATATAATACTCTTTCTCTTTAAATCAAGTCAACTCATCGAAGTCGAAATTAGTCCCCATAAAAGGTAGACAAACCAAAAGCCTCATAATAAGACATTTCTTATAAAATATATTAATCAACACAAGCACATCAATAGCGTCATTGTTCCTAAATTTATTCATTGTTTCTCGTATTTTTTCTTTCTGCAGCGGTATCAATTCGTTGTTTCGAGTGCAACAGTATGAACAACTCCATGTGCCTGGACCCCACCATCTACGACAAGGAGACCATCAACAACTTCCTCCCCATCGCAGAGTGTGGTCGTGGTATCTACTCTGCCAATAATGAGTTCTTCTGCAGGAAGATTATTCAGACCAGTAAGTTTGCTATAGAACTTTATATTTGTGGTTTGGGTTCGTCTTAATGTGATTAGACTGAATAGCAATATAATCGAACTGTGAAAAGTCGTAACAGATAATACAAAACTAGTCTTTTTCTTTGAGATTTATTTCATTGAACCCTATTTCAGGGCCCACTTAGACTATACAGGGGTCCTTGGGCACACAATAATTCGGGTCTCTTTTGGAATGTTTCTTTTTTTTAACGTTGCCCCACACTAGGATTTTCTCCTGTATCGTGGGTGCGTTTACAAGCATACAAGTTCACATTCACATGAAACCCAGACCCGAAACATCAATTTGTGGATCACTCTAAGATTTACTCTGTGTGGGAATCGAACCCGCTACACGTTGCGCGGCAACTGGCTGCTTGTAGCTGGCCGCGCCGGTATGTTTCCGGTCCTTAGGGGCCTCTGAGGATGGCGGCTCTAGGTACGAAGGTACGAGTGCCTTATGGTAAATGATGGTACTGGCCGTAATAGTTTCACATTTATATATTATTCTCCTATAGTCCTGTTCCGTACTATTCCTTATTTTATCCTATACCAAAACAGAAGTGGACACATATAGGTATTTCACTACCCACACATTTATTTAGCAACCGTGACGATTAGCTTCCAATATAGGACGGTAATTATTGTCCAATACAATAAACATTATTCACTTTATGCAATTAAATACTTACTGGAGGGCCAAATACGAGCATTTTAATTTTAATTACATTAATTGAAGTCCCTTTGTAGGAGTACGATACAATTGTACTGAGGTCTAATTTGAAAACGGAATCGGGAACTTTCGAAGTAGTAAAATCTTCAGATACATTGAAGACTTTCCCCAAAAGTTAAGGGAGCTAATTAGCTATAAGAACATACCTCTGGTGTTCATATAGGTGGCATCGATCGCTAATAATTAAGAAATATATCTCCTTAATAGATACCCTATTCCATAAAAAGAGTTACTGTTCTTGTACCTAATAATCAAAAGTCCCATGATAGTTGGTATTCAGCTTAATAATGCCTGTTTCCTTTCATTTTCAGTTCTCCATAAGGGTTATGAGCCGGAGGTCCGAGTGACCCGCAGCTGTGGCTGGGTGCGTCATCACCGCGACTGCTACAAGGCTGACAATGAAGACCATCTCGAAACAGTCTGTCAGTGCTTCGACAACGAGTGTAACTCTGCCTCCGTCCGCAAGAGTGCGCTAGCTCTGGTTGTAGGAGCGACAGTTATGATGTACCTGTGATTACATGCAGTATTATTTTGTTTGGCTAGTTTTATTCACCTTTTACAATTATACCGTGTATCATCACCATCATCAGTTCACCGCCTATCTGATCACATCCGACAGTGCCCAACACTACGTTTACTCAAACATAATTTTAAACATAACCTAACATAATGTAACGTCTTTTAGGTGTACGTTACGGCACTTAATGCCACTGTACAATGTAACACCCACTGTTCACTATTTATGTTATAAGTCCCATGTAATAGGGGGTGAGCCTATTGCCATATAACGGGCACAATTCCATACTCCGTGCCACTACTGACATTTTTTTAAAAAGCACACTAATACTTTGCCCGACCCGGGAATCGAACCCGGAACATATTTTTTGCTACAGATTGTATCTACTCCAAAGGCGAAATGTCCCTAGTCCTAAGCATGTGCTACTCCTAAACCATATAAAACATTCTAACAAGGTAACAAATAAAGAACCACTTTCCTGTATTATTTTAGCCAGTTGAAATTACTACTTTATGGTAAAATTAATGAATTCGCTATGAAGTTCTATTGTCAACAAGTGCTTCTACAATACAATTTACCTACATTGTAGGTACATTTATAAATCTATTATGAATAATATTATAATGTTAAACTTCCCCTTATTTCCTAACTACTCTAAAACTACATTTTTTGTTATAAAAAGCCTATGCACAGAAAAAACATATATTGTATTCAGAGCTTTATCTGTTGCAACAAACATTAGTTACCTCGAACAAAGCTTAAACAATCATTCAATAGTTCGTTTGCAGACAAAAAAACGGAAACTCGGACAGACAGACTATGAGTTTCCTGTGTCAATTTAACCTTTTGTGTAAGTAGATATTATCTACTAACGTGAGTAATGTAATTATGAGCGTAACCTCAAATGACATTGGCCCAGTCAGATCAACTGTGTGAACTGATAAACGTTGGACTGGGCAGTTATCTCCAGCTGGCTTAATAAACCGTGACATTCTTAATCAATGGCATTGAAAGGCTAGTAAATAGAATCAAAAATACATAGTCTTATACAGTAATACATTGTTTAATTTTAAAAATTGAGATATATAAATAATAAAATACAGAAACTGACAGCAAAATAGTTCCGAATTATTTATGTACAGCGCCATCTCGGAACGACTTCTCGAACTATCAATGTTCACTAGACTTACTAGTTATTGTACTTCAAGATAGATGGCGCCTAAGAGATTGAACTTGAAACTTACATTTATATTGTTTTATCGCGTTTGTAGATAATAATTTTAAAATTGATGAACGTTATAAAAACTATTTTGAAAAGTCTATTTCGATATTTTATAGCAATAACAACTCATGTGTTGTTTTTTTTATTTATTAAAACAGCATCAAGTAACTATTTATTCACTTTGTAATAATGTTTTGAATTTATCATAATTAAATCTAAATCAATATTTTTCTCAGAAATGTCGGCACTTTGCCAATACTTATAGATAGTGATCCATAATTTGAGCAAAACTACCACGTCAGGTTGGCCGAGTGGTCTAAGGCGCCAGATTTAAGCTCTGGTTCCCGAGAGGGAGCGTGGGTTCGAACCCCACACCTGACAAACTGAAAGTATCCCGCATACTTCTTTTGCAACTTTTTGTTCATTGTTTTAATGTTTTTTTGTTTTAAACAATCAGCTGCATACAAGTGTCTGATAACAGTATCACACATCGACCGCGTTCTTATGTCAATGACATAAGAGTGGTTTTTGTAATAAAAATACTGATTGTGACGTCATGTCTAGTGACGATGAATCATGGGCTACTAGATTTTGCACGTGGTACTTTTGACCCGTGAATTGTTTCTAAGAGGTGTGACGTCATACGGCATCAAGGCTAATAACGCCTTGGATTATTGTGACGTTGGATTACCTATGTCATATTGTGATGACGTAACGGTATTGCAGTTGTTCTTGGAATGGGTTAGCAGGAATATGTTATCACCTTTTGTTATTATTTTATAGGGTAACGTCATACCTTTGAGAACCTAGTTCCTTCACCGGACTTCATTATTTCAATGGTTTCATGATTCTATTGAAAAAACAGATCTCATTTATTCTAATGCAGAGGCTGCCCATTGCCTATTGTTCATCTGTAGCACCTCATATTACCTCGGAATTACCACAAGACTTTGTTCATTTTAAGAAAGACATCAGAGCCTTTATTATTATTGGAAAGATTTTTTTTAATATCTACAAAATAGATGTTCGCTTACGTATGGTAGGCAGAAGTAGAATTTTACCAAGCGACATTATTATGAAACCCATTTAATGTATTGTACCTAACTTCGAAACCCACGATTACGAAAAATCCACAACATTCGTTCATACAAAAGTAGTCTTTAAATATCGAAAATACGGTCTATAATGGAGTAAATGGAGAGCGGTCACCGGTGACCACTTGGGTGACCACTCAGCAATTCATGTAATTACTAATTTAATAAGGTATTTATAGTACCTACACAAGTAGGTACATCGAACTAATACAATTTCAGATTAATTCAAAAAACCCAATTACTGATAAATATTTACATAACACTCAATTTTAATTCTGTCTGTTTTTGTGTGTGAAGCATACATATATATTATATATGTACCATGTTTTTCTTGAGACAAGCCCGCCACAACTTCCCAAAACCCTGCACCTCCTGTAAGCCAGGCTCTACAGTAGATACAACCATGAAAACACCAGAACAGTCCAGCGACATGAACTGTCTTGGATTCCGCAACTAGGTATATAAATCAGAAGATATTAATATAGTACTTATATTAAATGTAATCATATGATTATGATTTTGTATGTATTTGTTTAAACATTAGATAGTTAATACATTATGTATAGCGCCTGAACACACCCATCTTAATATTAAATCGTAGTATCTGCGTCACACTGTATAGTAATACCTAAGTAACTGTTAGTCGGTACTTATAGGTAAACATCTCGCCTGCTATTTTCAACCATTCCAGGAAGACAGCAGAGGCGTATTAGGTATGACAAGTACGCCCACTTTCTGCAAAGCCACGTCATTATTGTGATAATGTATCTATCTACCTCTATGTATCAGTGCTGGATTTATAAATAGGCCGTATAGGCCGCGGCCTAGGGGCGGCAGCGTCTTAGGGGGGCGGCAGATTTTAGAGGACGGTCACTGGATTTCAGACTATAAAAGTAAAACACGTTTACTGATTTTATCATGTTTTTCATAGGTACTTAAAGAAATCCCTATAAAAACTCATTCGTATCGAAACCTAGTGAGTGAAAGATGAGAACAATGCGGCTCTCGTCAATTTTGAGAAATCAATCTCTGATCTCTGTCCAATGTTTATCCCAACTTGGATATATAGTTGTACACATTGCTCTTTCCACTCCGGCTCCAAATTGTTCTGTGAAAAGGTGTTTTTCCTATATAGAGCGCGTGAAAAATTATCATAGGACAACTGACAAAAATTTAAACAACTAAAATCAAACCAGTAGTTTTTTAACCGACTTCCTAAAAAGGAGGAGGTCATCAATTCGGCTGTATGTTTTTGTTTCTTTTTTGCGTTTGTGGACGGATTTTGATAATTCTTTTTTGTTGGAAAGGTCATACTTTCGGGGTGGTCCATTTTCCACTACGTCAGGATCTGATGATGGGATCCCATAGAAACCGAGGGGAACTTTTCAGAATAGACGACTATTTTTTATTTTAATGTCCGTCTGGTAGATTATTTTAAATCATTACACACGTATTTTTTATTTTCTTACGGAAACGAATACTTTCCACGATATATTGATTTGAAATGTCGCGTGACGTCACTTTTATGTACCTACATTTTATACGTAGAAATGACGTTTTAGCCCCCCACTCCTAAACTTTGATTCGTTTTATCTAAGTATTGTTTTATTATACGACAAAATAAAAAAATACGTGTCTAATATTTTTTAAATAGCTAACCCACGGACTAATTAGATTTTTAATCGTCATCCCAATTGTATGGGCGGCGAGAGCGTTTGTAAATTTTTTATATAGTATTTAAAATTACTACAATTTGATGAAGGTGTGGATTTGTTATGATGATGGAGTCAAGAGACAGTCGAGGGAACTCCTCGAGGATTTGTGGCAATGACCGCGTGTTTGGGCTTAAATTATTTGTACTGAAAAGATCTTTACATCTAGATGGGATGTGATTGTCATTAGGGGTGTGATGATGAAGTAGTATGATAGCTAAGGGAACTTCTCAACGGTTAACAGTAGCTACCTGATGTTTGGGCTTGATTATTTTGTATTACTGAGAACTTTACACCTAAATGGGGTATAATTGTCATTTGGGGCCGGATGATGAAGGAGTATGATAGTTAAGGGAACTCCTCAACGGCTGACAGTAGCGACTTGCTGTTTGGGCTTTAATAATTTGTTATGATGAGAACTTTGCACCCATGTGGGATATACGTAGTTATGATAGGTTATCCACCCAGTGATAGGTTAGAAGTCGGTGCCTGTTTTTGTGTTTGTAATTAGTTCGGGATTTTTGCACCAAAACCAAAAATGTTGAATATCTCAGAAACTAGCCACTTTCGGACTAAGGACCTCAGGGCTCATTTTGCAGGAAATTAACTGTATTACCTCCCGAGAGAAATAGCTCAGTCTGTAGATTTTGCTATTAAAGTCCCGTAAAAAATATAAGTAAGTCTTGTTTCATATTTCATGCAGTATACTATAATTAATGGTAAATTATTATTTTAGAAAGGTAAGTAGATATATGGGGCGGCGGAAAAAAGTGGCCTACACTCATAAACAATATAAATCCGGCACTGCTATGTATATAAATAAAAAGGCATTTCCGTTCGTTAGTGTCGCTAAAACTCAAAAACGGCTGGACCGATTTGGCTAATCTAGGTTTTGAAATGTGTGTAGAAGTCCAGGGAAGGAACGAAATAAATTTTTCGGCGCAATGAAGTTTACCGTGAAAACAGCCACATTGCTCGACTTCACGGTT